ATCTTTTTGTTCAGAGTATTGTGTGAAAGAGTGTGTATATCTCATGCATAGTCAGTAGATATTTTTGTGTTTGTCTGACAAAGATGGTGATTTGTTCTAGCTACATACCAAGACACTAACAACAACACTATATAACTACACAAGACGATCCCACACTCACAGAACACCGACAGTCCTCAGACCTCCCTCTTCTCACCAAACCTATACACAAAAATCTATATCCTTGTGGAATTTTCCTTACAACATTCACCTTATCAAAACCCTCTCTGCAATTTTATCTCAAAGTGATATATACTATGTTTGACCAGTTCAAACCATTCTCAGAAAAGTATTCCCTGCCTGAACGACGAATGATGTAATATTATGTTTGTGTGTCAATGCAATACTAACCGGCCAGTTATAGAAGCACAAAGTATGTTCCTTTCAGCATGCACGAGTGCCCGTGGATTGATAAAATGATGCATGCCAGTCCATGAGTCTGGTTTTAACTCACACATTGAAATGCATTACACCAGGTATACAATAATATTATACACACAGTTATATACCAAGTTTTAACAGCCTATGTTGAACTGTCACACAGTCACCAAAACCACCACCACCTGCTGGCACGATCGGTGTCAATCACCTTTTGGAAGAAGACAGACCCAACCCTGACTGTCTCTGTTTTCGGGTCTACGTAGAAGGGGTGTGGCTGTATGTCGGAGAGGCCGTCGAGAGCAGTGGCCACATCCTCACCGACCATCTCGCTGAACTCATCCACATCCACCGTCACTCCAGGCTTCTTGAAAAGCCTATACAGATCCTTCTTGTTTGCATTCGGGAAGCGCTTGTGAAACTTTTTCAAGGCTCTCCTGCTGCCTTGAGCATTTTGGCTCGGGTTCAGATGCCAACGGCACCAGATCTTTCAAAGACACCTGCTGCTGGTCCCTTGTGTTTTTGGACCTCACTTTGTCTGCAAAACTATCCAGGTGCAGCAGCCGAGAGCCCAAGATTTGTACCACTTGCTCGGCATACTTGGAAACAGCTTTGTTGTCATTGGCTCCCTCCAATTTCAACTCCGTACACAACTGCTCAATGTACTGCTTGGCCTCCTCGCGATCTAAGTCACCAACGCTGGCAAACTCAGCCCTCAGCTTCGTCCATGGCAATATCCAACCCCATGGCAGCTCGTGATGTCGACAGGACCACGATGGGACACACGAGTGCCTCATCGTGTCCCCAGTCTTTCAGCGTGAGAGCCAGGTCCTCAAAAGCTTTCGACGATGTGAACCGCTCGTTCACCTCCACTACAAGAACAGGGGGGTGCTCCAAGCTCCCTGGATTCCTGCGGATTTCCTTCAGTGCATTCACCACAACCTCGGTGTGGTCCACTTGCTTGTTTGTGTGTAGCCCCAAAGACTTAGTGATGGCACAAGCAAGCTCTTGATCCAATTGACTCTCCCCAGCAAGTGTTACAACCACAACCCCCTTCTTGTCTTCCAGAGTCTCCCTGACTGCTGCCGTCTTTCCACTTCCGCGCGGGCCACAAACAATCACTGTCTTCTGCTTTTCCTTGGCGGCTAAAATGTCCACGACGTCGGGCAGGCCACCCCTTGCGATGTATGGAGAGGGTTTCTTGGTTTTCGCTGGGTAGGTTGACTCGAGGATCTTCTTTTTGAGGGCGTTTGGGAGCGCCGGGCCAAACCATTTATTGTACTCTTGATGCGCCTTCCACACAGCAAACACGGCGGTGATGGTGCCGATCACGGTGCCGGTGATGCTGGTCGTGTCTTTGATCTTTTGCCACAGGGAGGTTGAGGAGGTTGTGTTGCCATGTGTACGTTTAGTCAGATTGACAACTTGCAACATTTGCCTTGGGAGGGTTGGGGAGACCGTGATGCCACGTATAGGCTTAGTTGTAGTGAAGGCGGCCGGCCTGAGTCGTAGAGTTAGCAAATGAGAGGTACACAAGGAAAACATCCTGACGAGGGACAAGGCTTGTTGACAGCTGGGGTTTGCAAAGTGATAATTATGACAGAAGCTTTGAGGAGCTATCAATATGTGCCGTTCGGCAGCTTCAACAGCATGCTTATATATCCAACTGTTGTGAACGTATTCATTGCAGTCGTAATTGAAGAGTTACGTGAGAGAGTTGTGCTAACTGAGACTGGCGTACATAATGGATGTTTCTCCAAAAGGAAGTTTTACTCTGCACATTGTTACTTTGGACATATGTGTAGTGTAAAAACACCTGTCATGTTTTTCAAAAAACCTCACATGACATGAGGAATGCCATAGTTCTCTGTATAACACAACATTACATCTCAGAGCAACTGTTTTCTCTCACATAGCCACTTTCTCAAACCAACATTGAAATGATAAAATTGATGAGGATGCAGTTCAATGCTGTACACAACGTGCTATCTACTGGTCCTAGTCTGTTCCGTAAGGAATAAGGGAAAAGAGAGTCTTTTTTTTTGCGTGGACTGATGGGTAGGTTGACTCGAGGATCTTCTGTTTGAGGTCGTTTTGGAGCCCCGGGCCAAACCGTTGGTTGTACTCTTTCCATGCCATATGCGCAGCCAACACGGTGGCGATGCTGCCGAGGCTTCCTGTTCATTGTACAAGTGGAAAAGTGCACATCTCCAAAATGAAGGGAGTAGCTCAAGACACAAAAAGGAAAGAACAATGGTTCATTACACAGCAAAGACACACCATTATCTTTGTCTGATATTTTTCTCTGATAATTTAAAGATGATTGTGTCAAAAGTAGCTATGTGCGTCTTTGCTGCGTAATGAACCCTTGTTTGTGTTTTGAGCCATCCCTTATTCCACTTGTTTCCACTCTTTCTCTTCTATGACGACACTGCATTTTCTTATTGTGGTGGCTCTCATGTGCATGGGTATGAGGTTGACGATAACCTGAGTGAAAGCACAGTCCACATTAGGAGCATTTGTAGTGACATGGAGTTGGGAAGACAGAGACACTATAATACAGAAAGCCCATAATTAGTGCATAGCTGTAACTGGTGGGCTGTTGCTACATGAAGCAAAACTGAAAGGCAGTATACTGAGGCATAGCTCAATACACAGATGGCATAGTACAGAGCCACCTAAATGAGTTGCCAAAAGGTTAAATAGGTTTTAGTATGTTTGTGGACAGTGGTGGTTCATGTGTAAAAGTGAATTCTTGCATGGAGAACTGAGGGCACCTATAAACTGTTTGGCATATGTAATGCACACTTTGGCTGAGGTCACAAGCAGCACTAAAATATTTAGCATTTTCAGTTCCAATTACGAGTTGATGCAATAGTCCAGTCTGGACTGACACATCTGATGACCAACCGAGACAGAGAAATTGTGACCTTCGACCTCCGTCCACTCCCACAGAGCTTTTGACCCAAAAGGAAGTTTTGCTCTGCACATTGTTACTTTGCAGTAAAAGTGACATATGTGTATAAAAACACATGTCACATTTTCAAAAAAACCTCACATGACATGAGGAATGCCATAGTTCTCTGTATAACACAACACATTACATCTCAGAGCAACTTTTTTCTCTCACATAGCCACTTTCTCAAACCAACATTGAAATGATGAGGATGGAGTTCAATGCTGTACACACCGTGCTATCTACTGGTCCTAGTCTGTTCCAGTCTGGAATTAAAATAGCGCATTCCTAGGCCTGTTGCCAGTAGCAACACAGTCCCCAGCACCAGTAGGGATATGGAGGCGGGGTCAAGGATGGCCACACCCCTCAACTCTGCCAACATTAGACCTGACTGGACACAGAGAAAGTTGTAGGGCAGAAGACCTGACAGTGTGTGTGTGTGTGTGTGTGTGTGAGCTTATTCCCAGCAGCAGATATCTCACACCTCCCCCAACATACTGAACATACCAAACCATTGGTCTCAGCTGACATTTCACACAGAATCAGTGGGGCACAAACAACATTCCACGAACAACATTCACAGCTCGACTGAAGTCACGCACCAAAGAGGACGGAGATGAAGAAGAGATGGAGGGGCACCCCGAAAAGGGGAGATGAGAGGTTGAGGAGCCAGTTTGGGGACATGGGGAACAGTCTCAGAGATAGGAGGACCAGCAACAGCTCAGCTCTCTTACTGGAGTGGAGCTGGTCACGACAGAGAGAAGGGTGCCAGTGTGTGTGGGGAGGTGAGTAGGAAATAGGGAAGGGAAAAGAGAGTCTAATTTTATTTTTGCGTGGACTGTTAATTTTACCACTGAAACATTAAGAACTCTATAGTGATTGTGAAATGTCTCTGTTTAGAAAATTCATGTAGGGAATGAGGATTTCCTTCAAGTCTGCTCTATACTGTAAATGCATGTGTTGTTGCACAGACTTAGTTGCATGGGACTTTTGTCACATTTAGCCCCACGAACTTTATCCTTCCAGGTTCAACCCTAGACTGCTGCTTTCTTGAATGCAGCCTTCACACTTTAACTATTATTGTCTCTTGCAAACGTCGAAAGTATCTGCATTTTCCTTGAAATGTGCTCAGTTCCAGCACCACCCTCCTGACAAGATCCTGCCCTGGAGAACAAAGGTACCCCTAGCCTCGTAGTTTTCATGAATGCAACGGATTTTTGGAGAGTGAATGTGAATGCAAATTTCCGCTATGTTATGAGTACTATAGAAATACGTAGGTACGTACGTGTGATAGGGGTGGAGGGATATGAGGAAAGTTGTGTACTTAGACGACTATATTGTGTTGTGTACTCTTCATGAAGATATTAGACCATGTGATACCATATACACTTTAAACTTTGCCTTCACCTGCAGCGACCACAGTTGAACAGAACTGGCTCAGCAAGATCTGAAGGCTACAGTGGGTAAGCCATAGTCCTCTTCTGCTACCCCCACAAACCAATAACACTGGACATTGCTGGTGACTCTCAAAACTGGATTTTTGCCACAACACTAC